CTGGACTGGACTCATAACACCGACGTTCTGAACAAGAAGGGCCAGAGCCGCCTCCTGCCACCTCCTGAGGAGGCTGAGGTCCTTTGGAGTTTGTAGGCTCCTGCTTAAAATCTTCTAGGACTCTATGGTGGCATCAGCCCTCCTCTACACTGTCATCTGCTGGGCCCCAGAATCGGCCTGCAGGGCCCAGGACAGAAAAAGAGGCGATACAAGCCTCATTATCCAGAGGCACCCCAGATCACTGGGACACAAGGAGGGAAGACATAGGGAGGGACGCACCCACCAGAGATCAGACGAGAAAACCCGGAGCCCGACCCTGGGGCCAAACTCCAAAGAAAGAAACAGATATTAGATCATTAAATGCTGATACTGACACATTTTAAACTTTTTTTAACTTAGCTTATTAACTTTACTTTTTAACTTTTCAATTATGTAGCTTTTTACTTGTTTCTACTTGTTACTTTTTACAAAAGGCGGTATATCATTCAGGGGATCATCTATTTAGAAGGGGTACCGAAATGAACACTTCCTGTTTTTGCTTCAACTAAATGAGCTAAGTTGCTGCTTCGTCTTTTCATACAACTACGGCATCAAAACAATTTTTAGAAATGCAGTAAAGTTGCTTTTTAAAAAGCTTCTGTTCCTTATTTCTCTGTTTAGATTTAGACCAGAGTGCTCAGTTACAGCTTAACCTGTTAACCTTTGTCTTACATGCATAGGTAAACTTTCCTCTGCCTGCACCTAGAGGAAGCCTTACGGCATAACACCAGCCTTCTGTACAGGGTGGCTGGGCACTTCTTTAGAGATCAGATGAAGTGTTCAGTCATCCAGGAGGAGCCGATTCACTTTTTCTGCTCATCAAGAGGAGTCCGCTGAGGTGGTTCAGACATCTTTTTCCTGGACGCCTCCCTCAGGAGATTTTCCAGCCATGTCCCACCAGATCGAGGCCCAGGGGACGGCTAACGACATGATGGAGGGACTATGTCTCTAAGCCGGGCTGGAAACGGCTTATTTTAATAGTAAACATTAGATATAGGGAAAAGTTCACCCCAGTTTTGGAAATAAACAAGAGCAGATGAAGTAATGGCAATGAAGAGGGTTTTTTTTTTTTTTTTTACCTCATCCTGTCACATGCTTTTCACAAGAGCCTTGTAAACAAATAACAGGAAATAACCTCAGATTCTAGCTCTGACTGGTTTCATCAAAATAACTAAAAGCTGCAGCAGTCTGCACCACCAGATAAGGTAATAACTGCTGGTTATGAGGTCATCAACACATTAAAGATGTACATTTATACATGAAAAGGAGGATTTAAAATTCTATTCTGGATTTAACATGAAGCCAATGAAGAGAATCCAGGAAAGGAGAGATATGATCTGTTTAATTTTCTCTGGCTGCAGCATTTTGGATCCACTGGGAGCTTAAGCTGCACTTTGTGGACTTCCTGATAGAAAGAACCAGCAACTTAACATCCATTGGCTGAGCAGCAGGCACCATGGTAACCAGCTCAGTCTGGGTATGTGGAAACAGCCGTTGTAGGTGGAACAGGAAACAGCCAGAGGCAGAAAAAATAACGTTCTGCTCTCAGCTATGAATCAGTCCTTAACTATAGAACTGGGGTGGGGGAGGGGGGGCATAGCTTAAGAGCTTATAGAAGTTTCTTTCCTCTGATGGCACTCACTGGCCTTTCCCTATTAAGCAAAAAGCAAATGTCTATAATAGGAGCAGTCATTTCAGAGCAGGCGGGGGAGGTTGTTTTCTTGTAAATTGACTTCCTCATTCGCCCTGAGGGGAATTCACATTTCACACTTCGATCTGCACAGCAGTTAGTTCAGTAACAGAATAAAGAGTTTAGTTTATTAAAACTACAATCAAATGTTCTGATCCAGATCAGTGATCTATAGTTAGCTCTGATCAGCCATGTTTACCCTCCTGTGTGAGTGCTGAAGGTCTAGATTACAGCCTCTGTTGAAATCTGCTATGAGTAGAAGAAAAAAACCTGCTTCAGGATAAAGTTCCCTTTTCTGTTCTGGTTCTGGTATGTTAAAGAAACGTTGTTTTTATATTGGATCAGTGACGCTGAGAAATGTGATTCATTTAACCTTTAATGTCCTTAAAGGGAAAATTAGTTTTGCAGAGAAACCAAATGCAGCATTTATGGTCCAGTTAGAGTTCTAGTGTCTCTCTGGGCCATCAGGTCTCATTATTAATGAGACGGAACCTGGCAGGGATAAATGTGTGGTTTGGTCAGCTTGCTGTTTGATTTATTAAGATGCAGAAAATCTGTTTATAGAGCAGCACATGATTATAACTCACAGACTCTGTCCTGCAATCGTTTATTTATCCTAATAGCTCTACTTTCTCTGAAGATGAAACACCAACATGTGATCAACAGTAATTTCATCTCTCGAATGGAATTCAGGTTTTTCATGTCTTATAAGCTACTTGGAGTGTGGGACACTTCCTGACTGACTAATCGGCTACATTTTTTTACATTTTGTTTTTATATTAATAGGCTATATATAAATTTTTTATTTATTGCTTTTTAATTACATTTTTTATGTGTATGTATTAATTTATGTATTACATATATTTTTTATAATTAGCCAAATTACACCTTTTTTGGTTGTTAAAGAAAAAATAATGACGGACTAATTCATATTGTTACCTTGAAATGAAAATACTAATGTTTTACCTTTAAAATAACTTTTCATGATTCCATAAGTTTTCTATCCATTAAAGATATTTAACCATAAATGTCCTCTAATGATTCATTTAAACTTAGTAGATAGAAAAGCCCTAACCTGCGTTTTGGACATAAAACTTACCAGGGATCATCATTTTTCCAACTTTCCTCAGGCTGATGGCCTTCAGGACTGTTTCCTGGGAAAGATTAGCTGTTATTTTAACTTTTGATTAACGAAAATTTAACTTTCATGGTTCTAACAGTTTCCTCCATGATGAAATCAACTTTATTTCGTTTAAATCTCTTCATCCACGCTTCAGATAACAAAAAATACAGAGAATATCCAAGTTATTTATTCTGGATATAATGTAGGATTCCTTTGGTAGAAATTAAAGATAATTTTTCATCACTTTTTGTGAGCTGGAAGCAATAAATCCTGAAATTTCTTTTATGCTTAGCAGCTGGTGTTGATCAGCTACAAGTAATTTAATCAGTGAGAGCAGAGAAAGCTGCTGAGCTTAACATATAAGGGGCTGTATGTGAGCACAGCAGCTGGAGCAGCTTGTCAGAGTTTAATACCGGTATTTATCAGACACGTATTGAATGAGCGTGTCAGATTTTAACACTGCACCTTTGTCTCACTGCGTGTTCAGAAAGGAAACTGTTCTGAAGCTGGCGACACAAAATGGAGGCTAGCAGGTCTTCCTGGTTCTGCATATCGCCCTAAATCCTCTACTGGTTCTTAGTCCTGGACTATCCCTGCTCATTTCCCCCTGAGAACAACTAGTCCTGCATCAAACTCTGTAGAGGTGACAACATTAGCTAAAAAAAGAAAAAGTATTAGAACCAGTACTCTGTGTTTCTATATGGAAAGAATAAATGGCTGGACTGATTTTATCTGGTGTGTATTTATAAGCAGGGCAATCAACTCAACCTCTTCATCATTCTGCACTAGTGACCATGAATAAAGTGAACATGCTGTTGATTGATGGGAACAGTGGTTTGTACTGGAGACACGTTCCTGGAAAGTAAAACACTACAGTGCTTCTGTAATAAATGATAGTTGAAAAGTTTCCATGCAAATTTAAAGTATCTGCTGTCTGAACCTATACTAGAAAGGATAAAATAAAATTAATGTTCAAACGCTGCTGGATGAGGAAATGACCTCTCCTTACATCTAAAGCAAAGTCAGACTGATTAATCAGCCAGTGGATATTTACCAGTTTTCTCCAGTCTTTATCAGCCAATATGTAAATGTGTTCATTGATTCATCAGTGCATCCAGCAGCCATGCCTTTAGATCACTGGAAGCACATTTATCACACCTCCTCCTCCTTTAAACATCAGATTATTTTGTTTTGATGATAAAGGCTCCATTTTAACTGACACTACAACACTCATGGTTTTGGTCTGTGGGAAGAAGCTGCAGTAGATCCAGGGAGAACTTGCATGCATGGTTAATATGGTATAATGCTTGTAGCAAGCTAACAACATTCTACAAGCTAACAGAGCTGTACCTCTCTGCAGCCGCTTGGCCATCTGACATCATTTCTGTCAGAGAATAAAACACCACAGAAGGTCCCCATTAAGGCTTGAAGCACCTACAGGTTCTACTGGTTCTTTCCTAGAGATCAATAAACAGCATTTAGAGACTGATTGACATGAAGCTTCCCTTTGAAATAAGCTGTAAATAAAAGTCAAAATCAACAGAGGTCAGAAAGGGAGCAAAACACTTTATTAGTTATACATGTAAAACTGTGGAACACAAATCAAAAGCTAAAGCTTAGAAAAAAAAAAAACAATTCATGTAAAAAAAAAAGTGCTTTACATTAAGAGTAAAAACAAATATTTTTGTGTCCAGTTGAGGCCAGTTAGAAATAAATAAAAAGGCCAGCAGTAGTTAAGAGCTTTCTAGAACAGAACCAGCCTGCAGATAAAGTTTATAATGAAACTTTGCAGTGAAAGCAGAGAGCAAAGGTTCACCATGCAGACTAATTAATAAGCTTCACTATATATAAAAGCTTCATTCAGGATATAATCAATCATTGACCATTTCATTAATTCTGTTCTTTCCCTCGTTCTTCTGTATTTCTTTTATTATCTTGAAATGATTCAACTGTTTTACAACAGAATGAACAAATTCAAACCACAGATTTTCTCCTCAGCGTTAAGATAATGATGGTGAAGATTATATGAAGATTATAGTATCTGTTGGATTCTGCTCCTCAGTAAACGCATTTATCCAGGCTTAGCATAAGGACAGCTGGGTCTGCTTTCTCCCTAACGGCTGCGTTACCATGAGGTGAAGAAGAACATTATGGGATGCTGGGATCTGCTGCTGTTGGTTGGATCTGAAGAGGCTTCTCAGCTTCTTTATCAGGAGGAGGAGGAGAGGATCTCTGCTTCTTCTTCACAACAAACGCAGCAAAAACAGCAACAACCAGAGCAAAAAAAGCCAGCGCAACAATCAGTCCAATGTTTCCTGTAGAATAAAACCAGGAGTTAGTCTGATCCATCAGGTAGAACATCATTGATCAACATCATCTTCTGCTCTCAGACAGCTGATTCTATAAAGCCTGATCAACAGTCTTTAATAAAACATCTGATCTGAGATGTTTCTACCAGGAAGAACCAGGAAGCTGCTGGAGGAGCTGATGCAGAGACAGACGGACTCACCTGGAGGAGGACGAACATCAGGGAGAGGAGGAGGAACATCCAGGTAGATGGTGCTGATAGGTTCAATGGATCTCTTGCTGCGGTTTGATGCTTTCTCAACATAACACTCATATCTTCCTTCATCTTCAGCCGTCACATTCTTCAGAACCAGAGACGCGTTTCCTTTCTGTAGGTCCTTAAACTCTACTCTACCCATATAGCGGTCTGGTGTATCACTTTTACTTATTTTCTTTTCTTTGAAAACAAGAATAAATTCTGTGTTTCCTCCGTTTGGTCGGTTCCATTCCACCAGTTTAAAGGGAAAGCGTTCCTTAGCCTCACATGGCAGAGTAACATCTTCTCCAATCACAGCAGGGATTATTTCATCTGAGGAGAGAAAGGACAGAGCAGATTATCAGAGAGGAACTGCTAGAGATGAACTGGTAGATCTTGAACAGTCTGGATAATTAATGTAATTTAACGCTACCCTTTTGAAACCGTGCAGAGAACGGTGCGAGCACGGTAACAAAGATAACTGTTGAGTGTAAGCGGCACGTAAACTGACCGGACTGCAGGAGACACAACCGAACTAAGCTAACCTAGTAGTTGATCAGTAGGGCTCGGTGCGGGTCAGTTCTGGCTCGGTTCTCTGATAACAAGCAGTGAGCAGAAGGCGCCTCTCCTTACAGTCAGCTTCCAGTAGTGGAGGCTTCTGCTGCTCCTGTGTTCAACGCCAGAGAGCAGCTTTGCTATATTAGCTGTGATCAGCGGGTAGAAAGTAGTTAGAATCTATGTTGAAGTGAGAAAGTCCTCCTGAAAACATGGTCTGTGCAGTCAGTTCATCCAGATTACCATCCTGCCTTCAAAGATTATTTCTCTGTGGGAGCCGCTCAGACCCCCACATACCGGCGCTGCGCTGTCACTGGGAATCCCCAGCAGCAGCTGCCTCAGGCCCGGGGGCCTCTTGGGGGTTTTCCCCTACTGTTCACGGCGGCTGGAAGTAGATGTTAGCAGTTTTTATGTCCGTAATCCAAACTGCAGGCAGCAGGATAATAACATCAAACATGTTTTGCCAGCAGGTTTCTACATTTGAAGTTAATTTAGGCGTTAATAAACTGTTTCAGAGGAGTGATGATAGCGCTCTGCATCTGACTCCCTGCCAGCTCCCAGATCAGCTTCTCTGATTGGTCGATGAGGCGCCTCGTCCAGCAGCTAAAGTTCCATGTTTCTAATCCAACGCCACCAACAAAATCAGCTGAATGTGATTCCAGAAAGTAAAAGGAACTGACTTCATGTGTCAAAGAGCATTAGCAGACCTGACAAACAACAAGGAATTACAGCAGGCAAGCATGAGGGTGCCATCTACTGGCCTGGAGGATTAAAATAGTCACTAACACTAGTAACACAGCATATTGGCCAACAGTAAATAATCATCATGAAACAACTGGATCCTCCTCTAGTGGTGCGTTCAGACTGAAACCAGTGTCTGCAGTGATTGAAGCAGCACCTCAGATGCAGAGTGTTTACACCCTGGACCCCATAATCATACAAGAGGAGCCTTAGCTGCAGGAAGCGGAATCCCTACAGACATGGGAAAAACAACTCAGCAAGAGGTTCGGCTGTTTGACAACACCTCATCTCCATTTAGTAGCAGAGGTGAGAGCGGCGCAGTGCATGCCGTAACTGCATAGCTGGCCACTTCCACGCGCTGTTTGTGTGGGAAAATGATGTACATCCTCCACCATTGAAGCAGACATGGAGCTTCATCAGTGTCTCCACCCTCGGAGATGTTATGCAAAACAAAAACTTTATATCCAGACAGGAGTCCAGCACTAATGTCTGCTGGATGATGACATTATTAGCTGAAATGAAAATGATTCAATCTTGAAAAAATAGATCATTTAATTCCATTCTGACCTTAATGGGGGGAAAGTTGATCTCTGGATGACCTAAATAAAATCTTTTGAAAAAACAGTAGCAAAGATCTTATCTTCAATTCATTTATTTCATTTTTAGAAATGACCTTTTAAAATGCACAAACCTGCACTAAAGAAACAATAGTAATTTAAATATTAAAGTAATTTATAGGGATGCACGATATAATCAGCCCCCTATCGGTATCGGCCTTAAAACTGAATATCGGACACCCCACCGATATTTAACCCGATATTTGATCAGCTTCTGAGTTTCTGAAGTCTAAAAAAAAAAAATAAATACTACTTCTTCTTCCTCAAAAACTTCTTTTTTACAGACTTAAAAACTTCTAAAGACGAGGGAAAAAATATTGATACATTAAAATATCCCAATATCTTCATATGCTGATATATTGCCATTTAAAAACACCATATCAATCTCTTTTACTAATGAAATATTGCTATATGTCATCGTTATGCTACGAAATCCCCCGAAAATTCACAAAATGTTACCATATTTTTATATGTTGATATATTGACGCGGTATCGATCTATTTTACTAACAAAATCTCACAAGAATTTGCTAAATATCACGAGAGTTTGTAACAGAACGATGAAATTTCACGAGATCTGAAAGTAAAATAGATCGATACCGCGTTTTTAAAAATCTATTTGATATCAGCATATGAAAATATATTTGAGTATATTATTTATCAAAGTGTCAGAAATGGATAACAAAACTGCTATTTTCAATGACTACTTATTTTTGTCCAGCTTTAACATCGGTATCGATATCGGTTATCGGCTACATGAGTTTTAAAATATCGGCATATCGGATATCGGCCAAAATCCCAATATCGTGCATCACTAGTAATTTCCCTCTGGGATTATTAAAGTATTTCTGATTCTGATAACCATTCAGCCTATTTGCTGTGGAGTTTTTCATGTCATTCGTGTGTCAGTTTCACGCTCCTCCTATTTGATGGGGGCTCACTGAAAGGTTTGGTCTGAACCTTCATGTGGATCAGTAACAATTTAGCCAACAAAAATAAAGGCAATGACTCACAGCTAATAGTCCAGCTTCATGCCTCCTTTTGTAACTTGCTCTCTTTCACTTCATCTTTTTATTAACTTTGTAAACATCTATAGACATATTTCTCTCCCTGACCCCTATAAGTGTCTCTTCCACATTTAGACTCCCACCATCATAATGGAAACAGCTGCAGAGTCACTGAACTCAAATATTTTGTGTTGTATCCCTGGGTGGGGTGGGTGTAGGGTTGCCAACTACAGGAAAAAAAGGGACCCCTCATGGGCGTGCCAGAGGACCTGATTGCCTTCACCCCTGCTGGCATGGCGATTTTCTTTCAGCCCCCCTTGGTGTGTAAAATTATTTTTTTTTTACTATTTGATCCCTGGTGTCTCTAATGCCACGTTTCTGACTATGGAGCTGCCAATCACCAGAGTGGGCTTCTCAGTGGGTGTGTCACTAAGTCGGGAAAATCGTTAGAAACGTGAACGGGTTGGTGGTGACCAGTGGGCAGAGATCCACGACTACGCTTTCTGCGTACAGTTACCCAATCGCCTGGCTGCTCAGGCACTTTTGGAGGACAGCTACGTGGGGGGCCTACTTTAACTCCTGGATGTTCAACAGCCTGAAGCCTGGATTCTAACTCTGACACCCTCGCCTCCAAAGCTACAAAAATACTACACTTATTACACATCCCATTATCACTAAAGGAGGCAGAGGAATAACTGAACATCTGACACAGAGAGCAGGAGAGAGGAGAGGAAGGAGGAAGAGTTGGAAGTTGGAGATGGAAAAGAGTCAAGGGACAGAGAAAGAGAAGCCATAGGGATGCTAAGCTAGCACTAGCCTAGGCTAGCTACTCCTTACTACCAGAAATAAAACCGTGTGAAAATAACAAGTGCTCAGTAGACTACGGTAAGACTTGAGGTGATGGGCTCTGTGTTTAAATCAACAACAGCTGGTGTAAAAATGCTAGACTAGTCATCAGCTTCTGCTCTCCAGACATGGAGTTTCTGACAGTTAACTGCAGACCGTTCTATCTGCCCAGAGAGTTCAGTGTGGTTAGCATCACTGCTGTTTATGTGCCTCCCAGCTAACACTAAAGAGGCCATGTAGACTCTATACCAGGCTATCTCTGAGCTCCAATCTGCACACAGAGGGCGTTTTCATCATTGCTGGGGATTTTAACCAGGCTAACTTGAAGACTGTTCTCCCTCATTTTTACCAACATGTGGACTTATCCCTGCATATAACCCCCAGCTGATCAGGGCTAAACCAACAGTTAAAGAGGTCAGAGTGTGGTCTGAGGGCGCCATGGAAACACTCCAAGACTGTTTTGAATGCTCTGACTGGAACATCTTCAAGGCTGCAACAACATATGACAACTTGTTAAATATTGATGTAGGGCTTTAACAACGAATTGATAAAATCGATAAAAATTGACTTTTAAAAGCGTTGGCAACGAATTTCATCATCTATTAGTTGTGTCACGTGATTAATGCGTCATCCGCCGCCGCCGTCATCACATCCACTTGACTGAAACAGGGGAAGAAGAAAAAATACGGCAGAGCGAGCCAGCGCCGCAGTTGCAGTGTTGCCAACTCAGCGACTTTTCAGACCCCTCTAGCGACTATTTTTCAAAAAAGCGGCTACCGACAAATCTGGCAACTTTTTACGGTGTCACTGGCGGCTTTTGGAGACTCTTACGTGAAAGCATGTATCGTTCCTACTCTTGTCCTCCAGCGGCAGCTGCTGCCGTGGGGCGCCTCCCCCATCCCAACCCGTTCTCCGGCTCCCGCAGGAGTCCCTCTCAGCGCTGCAGTCAGAGCCGCAGGATGTTTACCCTCAGCGTCCAGACTGCAAATGAAGCGCCGGGATTGACGGCGCAAATTGATCACAATAATTAAAATAGCCTGCGCTTTGTAAACCGAAAAAAGTCGTAATATCCAACTTTTGTCAAAACAAATAAACATGGCACGGAACCACCATGTTTGTTTGGTTTTAAAGTGGGGAAACGTAACGTTAGTTTCTCAGGTAGCTCATCTGATGCTTTCCTTACCGTGTTAGTAGGTTACAGACAGTGATAAGGTTGGCTACTTATTATACTTTTAATTTCATTTGAATTAGCTTAAGCAGCGTTTATATTTTCTTTATAAATAAATTAACTTGCAAATTATGAGGGCAAGGCTTTTAAAGTTTAAATCTTCTGGCAAAGATAAAGTAAAGAAGATCCTGCAATTTATGGAAGTAAAGCAGAATAAAATCCAGCAAGATCAGTAATATGTCAATTAATTATCTGCCACATTCCCATGTAAATATCTGTCTTTGGAGGATGTGTTTTTTAGCACCCCTAGTTCTCTCATTTTTATTCCAAATACAATTTATAATTTGAATCACAGGTTATTTTTATCTCTATGGTTCAGTATTTTCTCAAGCAGCAACTTTAACTGCTATACTTTCCTGTCTTAAAAGGCAGAATTCTTCTAGTCTAAAAAAAACTCATTTGTTGAAATGGGGGGGCCTATTGTTTGAGCCCCTTAGGGGCTTTTAAAACAAAAATGTCTTTTTTTACACTTTATGAAACAAAGTAGCCTATATTTTGTGGATGTACAGCTACATTTCTCATGTAAGTTTGCATAGTTTTAACACAAACATTTATTTTTCATATTGCACCAGTACAGTTAATGAGCAACCTGTACTTGTGTGCTTGTTTGTTCTGTCTAAAATGTTTATTTTGGAATAAAGAGGTTAATATAAAAAATATTTTTTGTCTGATTCATCGATTAATCGAAAAAATAATCGGCTGATTAATCGATTTTTAAAATAATCGTTAGTTGCAGCCCTATATTGATGAGTATGCCATGACTGTGTCAGCCTACATTAAGAAATGCATTGAGGACGTCAGCATCAAAAAGAACATCACCACCCGGGCCAACCAACCACCCTGGATAAATGGAGAGGTTCGGAAATCACTAAAAGCACAGAACTCAGCTTTCAAGTCTGGTGATAAAGAGAACAGCGTCTGCCAACTGAAACCGTGCCATCAGATCAGCGAAGCAGAACCACAGCCAGAAGATCCTAATCCTAATCTTTCATATTGGACATATGTGGGAATGTTTGTGTCGATTGTGAAAATTGAAGTGTTTAGCTTTATTGAGATAATTGAAGTTAAAGATGCTATTATTGGAGGCAAAAAATTTCATGAATTTTCCAAATAAGTTTCCTCTAGAACCACTGCTCCAATCCCGCCGATATTTTAGGGATTGAATATTTGTAGAACCCTCAACAGATCTACCAAGTTTGAAGTGTGTGGCTTTATTACTTTTAGAGATAATTGGAGTCAAAGATGCTATGAGAGGCTAAATGTCCATTTTTTCATGTATTACCCAGCTTCAAAAGTCGATTACTCACTAACTGCAGGATGCCCGCTTGTGGACATTTTTTTCAAAGGAGTTGAACTATTTTACTTAATAAAAACCATAATAAAAAGTATTAGCCAAGCTGCTGGAATGGAACTCACTTTCTAGCCATTTTCTGAGAGCTAGCTTATGGCCTATATCTGACATAGCATAGCTGTTAGCCAATCATCTGTTAGACAAGACAGTCAATTAATTTTTATTACATTCTATGATTGGATATTTTTGCTGCAGCCCAGCAAAAATTGAAATAAATCTGCTATTGAAGCCTTGTGCCTAATAAAGGACGACAAATACGCATCCGGCTGCAATGAAACAATGAAACTCTGGAGTGTAGAGCTACCCTAATATCACCCCTGGTCATGAATAAAACATGAAATCTCTATTCCACAGTGAAAATGTGAAGAGATTTAAGACACTTCTGTTTTCTTTTTGCTGTGTTTTAACATAAAAAAAAAAATCTAAATAGCTGTCCTTCTTTGTTCTTTTATTCTCCAGTTCTGTACAGGTGATGTAGAATCTGAAGCTGTAGTTCTATGTGTCAATATCAGTTGTTCAAAAAATTTAAAGGTTTTTGAAATTAACTCTGAAAATTATACAAAAATGTACGGATTTTCAAAAAAATTAAGTGGTACTTTTCAATACTAGAAGCGGTTTATGTCTGTCGAATATCCAACGTAAAACTAACTTCACCGCGGTAGCCTGCATAAAGCCATTTTTAGCCCAGTTCACTAAAGTGAGCTCAATCTGCTTTAACTCCACCCACCTATGTCAGCAACGAGCAAAACTGTAAAGAGAAAATGTTGCAAGAGAACCTGAGGAACTTCAACAACCTGCAGAGTTTCTGCAATGTTTCCGGTCATTAACCGAAAACAACAAAACAACTATGTTAAATAACTTGTATTTTCAAGTTTAATTCACATACGCCACATTACAAAACAATAAAATCAAATTTCAAGGAGTCTTTCTTCTGCCTGTTTTAGTGATTTTAATTTCACTTAAACCAAGAGGCCTTCATGAACATGTTTCTCAGCAGGAAATGAACTCTAACCGAGAGCTAAAAACACAAAGACTATGTAAACATTTAGACACTCACCTTCTCCAGATACCATGCCAGCCAGGCACAGACCCACGATGAACACAGAAACACGATCCATGGCTTAGATATTCACGAAATGTCAAGAGAAATAGAGCTTCTTCTGCTCGATGTTTACAGGGCGACGTCGAGACTCAGTTTCCTGTCTGTTTTTCCACTGCTGCGTAGTCTGGTTGCAACACCACACCCAAATGAGGAAGACAGAATGGGGCGTGTCTGTTAGACGTGAAGCTCTCTAAATCATCAAAAATACAAGGTTTTAAAAAGTGAAAACAATGTGAAGCTTTATATATTTAATAGTTTGTATTAGCTGTGAATACATTTTTAATAATAAACACTATACAATCAAAGTAACAACTGCCTTTACAGTTCTGCTAGAACTACTTATCTTTAATGCTTAAATTAATTTAAGTAAGTAAGTAAGTATCCAGCTAGAGGAAGTGGAAGCTTTCACCAAACACATCAACTCTGTTGACCGTAACATCAAATTCACCAGAGAGGATGCCAAGGACAACAAACTACCCTTTCTGGACTGCTTGGTGAGCATGGAAGGAGACGGAAGCCTAAACATTGAAGTGTATAGGAAACCTACTCACACAGACCAGTATCTTCTTTTTGACTCACACCACCCACTGGAACACAAACTCTCAGTCATCAGAACCTTAAAACACCGGGCAGAACATGTCCCTGCTAAAACAGATGGGAAGCAAAAAGAACAGAAACACATCAAAGATGCTCTCCGAAACTGTGGATATCCAAACTGGGCTTTTATCAAATCAGCAAGGAAATCCAAAAGACTCGCAACAGAAGACAGCGATGGGAAAATTAAACGCAAAAACATCACAATCCCTTATGTTGCTGGAGTGTCTGAAAAGCTCAAGAGGATTTTCTCCAAACACAAGATCCCAGTACATTTCAAGCCAAACCAAACCCTTAAACAGAGGCTAGTGCATCCTAAAGATAAAACCCCCAGACCGAATCTGAGCGGAGTGGTATATGCTGTTCAGTGCAGCGAGGAATGCTCTGATCTTTATATTGGAGAAACCAAACAACCGCTCCACAGACGCATGGCCCAACACAGAAGAGCGGCCGCCTCTGGACAAGACTCCGCAGTACACCTACACCTTGTGGACAAAGGACATTCTTTTGAGGACCAGAATGTCCATATTCTGGATAAAGAAAATAGGTGGTTTGAGAGGGGCGTGAAGGAAGCCATCTATGTTAAGAGAGAAAAACCAACTTTAAACAGAGGTGGTGGACTCAGATTCCAGCTTCCAAAAACATACAATTCAATCATAGACATGATCCCTTCCAGATATCACCAAACCCCCCACCCCATCACAGAGGAACGAGGGACCTACCCGCTCCAGCCGGTGAACAATACCTCCTTAACGACCGACCCTTAACAATCATAGACAGGTTTCAGGTATTACAGGAGACAATCCCCCCCTTAACGGCAATCCCCCCTTTAACGACTGACCCCTAGAATCATAGACAGGTTCAGATATTACAGGCTAACGATGGAACTAAACGACCCATTCATCGGTTACCATTTGCATGTTTCCAAGCAATACAAGGCCTTGTCTATATAAGACTCAAACTCACTGCAGATCCAGACATTTGAATTGAGAAAGCTTCCTGGAGAGGTGGAGAAACGTCTTCAAATCTTGAAAACCAAGTCCAGTGGATATTTTTTGAATTTTTACGGAAAGTAAGTAAGTAATTTTTTAAGTAGTTTTGTTCATTTTAGTTTTTGTAATTTTGTTTTAGCAGAATAAAAGTGATAAGATCCTTCAATCTAAATATATTAATGTATTGTTGGTAAAATGTTTAAAGAATTTGTTTAAATTAGTTTAATTTGCTGAGTAAATACCAAAAGGCACTATTATGTTAAACTTAAAAAAAAATAATGGTGGAGATAATATGAGGAAGCAAAATGGTGGATTCATCGGAGTAAAATTAAGCCTCTCTGTGATGGGATATTAAGTTCAATGCCCATCCAGGTACAACACCAATTAATGTTGTGATTTGATGTTCAATGCTCATCCGGGTAGGATACCACATTAATGTTGTGGATTTATATTGTATTCTATTCCCCACCAGCTGGGAATTTATATTTCAGATACTTTAAGGGTAGGGGTGGTAAATATCTTATTTAATCAGATATTATTTTGGCTGTTATACTGTTTATGAACACACACCCTACTAGCTGTGTGTTAGAACAATAGATGAAAGAGTGATTCGAGCTCTAATCATGGTCAAACAGTTTATTCTGCACATATATGGAATAAATTCATCACAACTTCTGTTTAAAATATAAGAGTTTATTAACAAAAATCATTCAGCTCCAAGTCAAACATATTTCAGTTTAAAACTCCTATCTAAGACTAGTGAAACTAAACTCAACTAAACTAGGCCTACTGTGTAGGGCTGGGCGATATAGAAAAAAAACTTATCGATAAAAAAGAAATGCATATTGATCGATATCGATAATTATTGAAAAGATTTGGAACCATATTTTATGTGCAGCTCTGCCTGGACTTTTAATGATATTGCTAACACAATCACAGACTTCCAATTAAATATTTATTTAACCAACTTTTTTAACCATAACAGAATTGTTTTAAAGAAAAATAACTTAAGAGACCTGAGTTATGTTATTAAATACTGACAAAGGATAAACTAAAGTGACCAGGAAAGTGATCAAAATAAATATAACAAATACATAAACAGAATCCCCTATTTGGGTGGGAATAGTACACCACCAGCTTGTGGTAATTAAAAGATTGTAGGACTAGGCTACCATGTAAACTCCACTCAACAAGAACAAAAACCCAAATCAACTCACCCTTTAGCCTAGCATTTCTATGGGGGATTTTTTCTCACCCCTATTCTTCTAGAGCGCTATTGGCACCTCATTATGGTTCAGCTTAGTTTCCTGCTTTAACCTGAGTTATTACTTTGAAGTTGCTGGCCCCTCAGCTTTTATCTCTCAATTGTTGGAACTACGTGGGAAACTGCCCCGAACTGAACATATATATATATATATTTTTTTTTATTATTATTATATATTTTTTTTTTTTCCGAAATTCCCGAAGATTCCTCGGAAGCGATGCAGATGCGCGCCGGGGCCTACACAGCTCGTACTCCTGCGGGTGTGAGCGGCTGAGATGATAAAAAAAAAGAAGTTGGTTGTGTTATCAGACTTGGTTTTCACTGGTTCCCTACACATTTTACAGATGACTGTGGTTTGTTTTTTGTCCGACTTGCCATGACCGAAATACTGCCAAACTGGCGAACTACAAAAACCCTTCTTTGGAACAATTTCCTCCGCCTCTCCTTGCTGCGACATCTTCATGTGCTCTGTGTTGTGGTTTGAGAGGGCGGCGCTTTGTGACGCCATGCCTGGGTCCGCGATTGTGATTGGTTGGGAGGAAGTAGTGACTAGCATAAACCTACATGCTAGGCTACAATGAGAAGGAAGGAAAACTGCGTTTCTTTATCGAACTTTTATCGATCCTCTTATTTTCTATTGCGCCACACGTCTATCGATCGATATATATCGTTAATGAATTATCGCCCAGCCCTACTACTATGTACAAAGAGGAAGGGGAAACATGGTTGAAAACCATATTACAGTTTAAGATGGATTTTTGTGTTTGAAAACCAAAGTTTGGAATATAATCAAATTAGCTTTACACTAATTTAGAGAAATTTAAATGTTTTCAGACCAATTCACAATGCAAATCCATGAGGTGAACAAAAGATTATTTAGTCAAATAATAATTTATTAAAAGATTTGCTTGATCAAGAACCAATAACCTTTAGCTAAATGATTCTTTACCCTTTTTGAAATAGCTAGCAGCGAACAGACATCAGGATTCCACTAAATGACTCTTGGTCATACTTGATAATGGAAATGTAATGAGCAGATGAGGAGCACATGAACACTAATGTTATATCAGTGTTTAACCCTTAGTGAATAAAGCCTGTCCAAGCCTCAGCAACAGCTCAACACATATTCCTGTAGCATAGCATAGCATGCAGTCCATTCTGTTAGCGTTGTCTTTACTCATCAGTAAACACATGATATGATCAAAATTATCAAAAGAAATTTTTTGTTCTGTCCCTAATTATGCCAGAAATGCAAACCTTTTTGTCCATTTTCACTTGGAAGGCTTGAATTTCATCCAGCTGCAGCTCAGCTGTCAGGCCAACAACCAGGGGTTCTTTGTCTCTTGGCAGAAAATCATCATATTTTTAACATTACTGTGGTTCCGTTTAAGATTAGAGTGAGGACCAACTCATCGAACTCGAGTCAAAGTACTTCAGGCAGCCAGAATCACCCAAGAGAATCCTGCTCCAGACCTGCCTTGTCAAAACTCTACCTTCACTGCACTCATTACAGTAAGATACTATTTCATTATAACAACCTTTTTTTATTTTAACAGAGTGGTGGAAATGGGCTTCCATTTCAAATTGTTTCAGTCCACCTGTACCGGTTTGACTGTACCGCCGGTCGTGCCTGCCTCCTGCTAGCACCCAGCTAAATAAAGCTGTTTACAACGGTAAGAAATGCAGTTTTTTTTTTTTATTTAAGTTGAGTCTGTAATTTAAGCTAGGACGGTATAAAGTAATAAAATTGGTATGATGAAAGTTACATAAGAAACATAGTTACATTAAAATAAATGACAGGTACATAAAAACTAAAAAAACATATCAAGTAAAACAATTACAGATCATTGAGGCTGCTTCAAATTCTTTCACTTTCAACTTAAAAGCATTTAAAGATAAAAACTCAGTCAATTTCCAGTTTCTTAGTAAAAAAAATTCCACGCACAAGGAGCTGCGTAGCTAAAGGCTTTCTTCCCAAGTTCTGTGCGGCAAAAGGAACAGTGAGCAACAGCTGATCGTTTGATCTCAGGGCAGAAGAAGCATTGCTTTTCTGTGTAAGTAAGGAACAAATCTGAGATGGTAGTAATCCAAGAAGGGCCTTGTAAATAAAATTGTACCAATGACACTGCCTTCTCATAGAGAGGGAAGGCCATCCCACCTGAGAGTACGGGTAACAGTGATGTCATGGCTCTACAGTTTGTGATAAATCTTAATGAAGCATGGGAAACAGAGTCCAACATTTGAAGACATGAAGAAGTAGCATTCTTATAAAAAAAGGTCACCATAATCTAAGAAGGATAAAAACGTTGCAGAGACAAGGCGTTTTTTTACTCCAAAAGAAAAACATGTCTTATTACGAAAGAGGAAGCCCACTTTAACTTTTAATTTCTTAAGAAGTTTATCAATAAAAGGTTTGAAGGTGAGGGTCTCATCAATTCCAAGGTATTTATATTCATGTACCACCTCAATGACATTCCCCTCCAGAGTGGACACTACTGGAAGGGTTTGAGGTGCCTTCCTATTATTTGAAAACAACATTAACTTTGTTTTGTCAGCATTAAGAAATAATTGAATTTTAATAAGCAAAGAGCATTTATTTTGAACCTGTCTAAAATATGACCAATCACTGGCAGAGTTACTTTGACTTGCCTTGTCCCATGCTTTATTATGCCCATGAATGCAATTTGCCAGATCTGGAGAAATGCACGGATTTTCTCGCCCCTTTACCCTGAATTTCTTCAAAGGTGCATGTTTATTTATTACTTGCCTGAATATGTCTCTGAAAAAAATCCAAACTAGCTCTACATCTGGAAGTGGATTTATATATTCCCAGTTCACCATAGACAAATCATAATGAAAGGCTTGTTCATTAAAATTTTTAAGATTCCTTCCGCAAACTATACGGGATTTGCGTTTTGGATTCCTAGTGCTTCTACCTGCAGCAACCACACAATGATCACTTAGGTCATTACAGACGACACCCAAGGAAGATAATCTATAAGGCACATTAGTTAAGATCAAGTCAACAAGGTAGATTTTTCTGGGCTTTTGGAATTAGGCCTGGTGGGAGAATTAAATAACTGGGTGATATGAATAGAATTACAAAAAAAAACTTTTGAACTCGTCAGAAGTTGCATTTAATAATAATAATACATTTTATTTGAAAGCGCCTTATCAAAACACCCAAGGACACTGTACAGGCTGATAAAACATTAAAAACAAGAAGCTAAAAAGTACAAGCATAAAGATGCCACAGAAAACAAAACAGCAGGAAGTAAAATAAAGCCAAAGGAAGAAAAGGAATAAAACAACAGTGGAGTGATGCGTAAGAACTAGATGGGATATGACTGTCTGAACAGGAAAGTTTTGAGTCTGGATTTGAAAAGAGGGAAGGAGTCCAGAGTACGGAGATCCGGAGGGACGGAGTTCCAGAGGTGGGGAGCAGAGCGACTAAATGCCCGGTTCCCCATTGTGACCAGACGGGCCGAGGGAACGGAGAGCTGGAAGGTGTGGGAGGATCGTAGGGAGCGGATGGGGGTTTTAACGTGAAGGAGATCTGAGATGTAAGATGGAGCCAAGCTGTGGAGGGCCTTGAATGTAGTTAGGAGGAGTTTGAAGATGATTCTTTGTTTGATGGGGAGCCAGTGGAGTTGTTGCAGGATGGGAGTGATATGATGAGAAATGGGGGTCCGAGTGATCAGGCGTGCTGCAGAGTTTTGGAGGAGCTGTAGTTTCTGGAGGGACTTGTTTGGAAGGCCAAAAAGAAGTGAATTACAGTAATGGATGCGTGAAGTGATGAGATTGTGAACAAGAATGGCGGTAGTTTGGGGAGTGAGGGAGGGACGGAGACGAGAGATGTTACGCAGATGGAAGTAGGCAGACGGGGTGATGTTGTTAATGTGGGACTGGAAGGAGAGGGTCCTGTCGAGGACGACACCCAGACTCTTAACCTGAGGGGAGGGGAGGACAGTTAAATCATTGATGGTAATCGAGAAGTTATTAGCTTTGGAGAGAGTGTGAGGTGTGCCTACTTGGAGGACTTCGGTTTTAGAGCTATTCAGTTTGAGGAAGTTGGATGAGAACCAAGAATGGATTTCTTGGAGACAGAGGGTGAGGGAGATTGGTGGGAGTGAGGCAGATGGTTGAGTAGAAAGGTAGAGCTGGGTGTCGTCCGCGTAGCAGTGGAATTTGATATGGTGCTTATGGAGGATGTAGCCAAGAGGGAGGATGTAGATAATAAACAGGAGGGGCCCCAGGACAGAACCTTGGGGCACACCAGAAGAAACGGGGAAGTAGATGGATTTATGAGATTTGAGTTGTATGAACTATGTCCTATCTGAGAGGTATGAAGTGAACCAGGTTAGAGGGGTGCGGCTGATACCGATGGATGATAGTCGACTGAGGAGAGTGGCATGGGAGATGGTGTTGAAGGCTGCTGTAAGGTCTAGGAGAATGAGGATGGAAAGTAGTCCAGAGTCAGAAGCCATAAGGAGGTCGTCAGAGATCTTGATGAGTGCGGTTTCAGTACTGTGCAGAGGACAGAAGCCAGATTGAAACTGTTCATAAATATTATTGGACATCAGGTGGTTGTGGAGTTGGGAGGCAACAGATTTTTCCAGAATTTTGGATATGAAGGGTAGATTGGATATGGGACGTACAGTAAGTTATTGAAGTCGGTGGGGTCCAGGCCAGGTTTTTTCAGAATTGGGGTGACTGTAGCGGTTATGAGTGCAGAGGGGACTGAACCAGAGCTTAAGGAAGAGTGGATGATTTTGGTGATGAGAGGAGCAAGTGAAGAACAGCAGGATTTAACCAGAGTGGACGGGAGAGGATCGAGCTGACATGTGGAAGGTTTGGATTTATGAATGGCTTGAACAGATGGAAGGTTAAAACTGGAGAGGGTGGTTGCAAAAGATGGGTATGGGGTAGCAGGGTTGCCTCCAGAAACTGCAGCTCCAGTTGAGGTCAGGTGTTTATGGATATCTGTGATTTTGGAGACGAAAAAGGACATGAGTTTATTGCAGAAGTCATCGGATTGCATATGATGGGGAAGGGAGTCGGGAGGTTTGGTGATGGAGGTGAGAAGGGAAAAGAGAGTTTTGGAGTTGTGACGGTTGGAGTGGATTAAGTTAGAGTAATATGCAGATTTGGCAGAGGAGAGGGAAGTCTTGTACAGTGCAATGTGATACTTGTACATATTTTTGTGAATGGTGAGTCCAGTTTTATTGGCAAGGCGTTCCAGCTGACGACCAAGAGATTTGAGGTGACGGAGAGCAGGAGTGAACCAGGGAGCTGAGTGAGTGAAGGAGACTGATCTAGATTTCAGAGGAGCATGGATGTCCAGGAGAGTATGGAGATTTTGATTGTAGTGGGAAACCAATTCTTTAGGTGAGCAGCAGGCAGATACACTGGGCATATTACTGATGTCAGAGGTCAAGGCGTCGATGTTGATGTCCTTTACATTCCGGAAGGAGATGATGCGAGGGAGGGTGATTTTAGACAGGGGGAGCTTAACGTTAAAAGTAATGAGCATGTGATCAGAAAAAGCAATGGTATGGGATTTACAGTCAGAGGGGGTGATGCCAGAGCAACAGACTAAATCTAGAATATGATTTTTACAGTGAGTTGGGAAGTTGATGTATTGATGTAGACCGAAGCTTTCCAGGAAGGATGAGAAGTCTCTGAAAAGAGAAGCAATGATATTATCCATGTGAATGTTGAAATCTCCCAAAATAATCAGATTATGGGAGAGGGTTGAGAGATGTGTGAGGAGCTGAGAAAAGTCAGTCAAAAAAATCCTTATTATATTTAGGAGGACGGTAGACGGTGGTGATAACTGTGGGAGAGGGTCCGGGCAGCAGTGAGGCGGAATATTCGAAAGAACAAAAAACAGGAGCAGCAGGAATTGGGACAACCTTCCAGCTCTCGCAATGAAAGAATGCGAGACCTCCGCCGCATCCAGAAGCACGAGGCAGGCGAACATAAACAAAGCCAGGTGGTGCAGACTCGTTAAGAGAGATAAAATCCTTAGGAAGCTGCCAGGTTTCTGTCAAACATAAAAAATCGAGATTATGATCCGCAATGGCGTCTCTGATTAAAAGCCCCTTATTACTGAGTGAGCGGATGTTCAAGAGACCGAAGCTGACGGTGGCAGAGTTGAGTTTGGAGGCGGGGTTAGCCACCCTGGGTAAGCTAGCCAGGGTAGCCAGATTAGCACCCGGCAAGCGTGACGAGAGCGGCGGCGCATGGTGAGCAGAGTCTGTATGGAGGGATCGGGGTTCCTATGAAAACGCTTACCACGCGATCCACGGTGGATGTATCTCCGGTTGGGCTGAAAGGTGATGTCGGAGGGGATGGAGCAACCATGTGGAGGCTGGAGGACGTCGACATGGCGTTGGAGCTTCAGAAGTTCGACAATGGAGTACTGGAACAGAGCGTCAGCTTGCAGTTGGGCAAGTGACACCAGAAGGCAGCCGAGTGTAAAGCACAACAGCGACCGGAGGATCCACATCATCCTATACGGAAGAAGGGCTCGAGGGCCAGGGATCCTCAGGTATGTGGTTGACCAGTTGGCTGGAAACAGGTGGGCCGGTGGCCGGTCGGCTGATGGGTTGGTTGTTGGCAGGAGGGCCGGTGGCTGGTCGGCTGACGGGTCGGTTGTTGGCAGGAGGGCCGGTGGCTGGTCGGCTGATGACTGGTCGGCTGTAGACAGGTGGGCCGGTGGGCTGACGGGTCGGTTGTTGGCAGGAGGGCCGGTGGCTGGTCGGCTGATGACTGGTCGGCTGTAGACAGGTGGGCTGGTGGCCGGTGGGCTGACGGGTCGGCTGTAGACAGGTGGGCCGGTGGCCGGTCAGCTGATGACGGGTCGGTTGTGGACAGGTGGGCCGGTGGCCGGTCCGCTGGTGATGGGTCGATTGTTGACAGGTGGGCCGGTTGGCTATAGACAGGTAGGCCGCGGACAGGTCGGCTGTTGACAGGACACCAGAAGGCAGCCGAGCGTAAACCACAACAGCGACCGGAGGATCCACATCATCCTATACGGAAGAAGGGCTCGAGAGCCAGGGATCCTCAGGTATGTGGTTGACCAGTTGGCTGGAAACAGGTGGGCCGGTGGCCGGTCGGCTGACGGGTCGGATGTTGGCAGGAGGGCCGGTGGCCGGTCGGCTGATGACTGGTTGGCTGTAGACAGGTGGGCCGGTGGCCGGTGGGCTGACGGGTCGGCTGTAAACAGGTGGGCCGGTGGCCGGTCGGCTGATGGGTTGGTTGTTGGCAGGAGGGCCGGTGGCTGGTCGGCTGACGGGTCGGTTGTTGGAAGGAGGGCCGGTGGCTGGTCGGCTGATGACTGGTCGGCTGTAGACAGGTGGGCCGGTGGGCTGACGGGTCGGTTGTTGGCAGGAGGGCCGGTGGCTGGTCGGCTGATGACTGGTCGGCTGTAGACAGGTGGGCCGGTGGGCTGACGGGTCGGTTGTTGGCAGGAGGGCCGGTGGCTGGTCGGCTGATGACTGGTCGGCTGTAGACAGGTGGGCTGGTGGCCGGTGGGCTGACGGGTCGGCTGTAGACAGGTGGGCCGGTGGCCGGTCAGCTGATGACGGGTCAGTTGTGGACAGGTGGGCCGGTGGCCGGTCCGCTGGTGATGGGTCGATTGTTGACAGGTGGGCCGGTTGGCTATAGACAGGTAGGCCGTGGACAGGTCGGCTGTTGACAGGACACCAGAAGGCAGCCGAGCATAAACCACAACAGCGACCGGAGGATCCACATCATCCTATACGGAAGAAGGGCTCGAGGGCCAGGGATCCTCAGGTATGTGGTTGACCAGTTGGCTGGAAACAGGTGGGCCGGTGGCCGGTCGGCTGACGGGTCGGATGTTGGCAGGAGGGCCGGTGGCCGGTCGGCTGATGACTGGTTGGCTGTAGAGAGGTGGGCCGGTGGCCGGTGGGCTGACGGGTCGGCTGTAAACAGGTGGGCCAGTGGCCGGTCGGCTGATGGGTTGGTTGTTGGCAGGAGGGCCGGTGGCTGGTCGGCTGACGGGTCGGTTGTTGGAAGGAGGGCCGGTGGCTGGTCGGCTGATGACTGGTCGGCTGTAGACAGGTGGGCCGGTGGGCTGACGGGTCGGTTGTTGGCAGGAGGGCCGGTGGCTGGTCGGCTGATGACTGGTCGGGTGTAGACAGGTGGGCCGGTGGGCTGACGGGTCGGCTGTAGACAGGTGGGCCGGTGGCCGGTCAGCTGATGACGGGTCGGTTGTGGACAGGTGGGCCGGTTGGCTATAGACAGGTAGGCCGCGGACAGGTCGGCTGTTGACAGGAGACCGCCGTCGGGATTGCAAAGCAGTGTTGAGCAGCGACGACATCCACGCCAGCATTCACTCAGACCGGAAGAGAACACAGTCCCATTTACGAATTTAACCAGTCCCAGTTGAAATCTCCTGTCAAAAGCACTTCAGTGTAATTTAAGTGATCTAAAAGGCGTTTTAATTATTAGAGTGCCTCTTTTGAAGCAGATGGCAACATTTACAGTAATATATAGCAATTTAGCTTTCTATATCCAAGGCCAAAATTTCTAGTTGTTTTCCGATTGACTGAGAACAAACAATCAAAGAATTGAATCTGGAATTAACACAAATAGCAACACCCCCACCCTTTTTCAGCCTATCATGTCAGGACTCCTGTTTTGTGTCTGTTTTTCTGTGTTTGTCTCCCTTCATCCACCAGGAGGCGCCCGGTTCTGGTCCGCCTCCTCACACACCTGCGGATGGTTTACTTGTTAAACGGAGTGTTCTTAAGCTGCTGACTGCCACTACTTCAACGCCAGAGTGTTTTCCAGTTTAGGGTACTCTAGCCAAGCTGAGTTTGCTGAGTCAAGCTGAGTTTTTGTCAACCTGAGTTTAACTTTGTTTGTCTTTGCCTCTTGGCAGGAAGTTGTCCTGCTAACTGGATCTCTCAGACCTTCACACCCTGGAAGGATCAACTGAGCTTCAAACTGAGCTGGGGTTCAAACAGGAGGTTTGGATCCACTTTCCCCAAAAGATCATTTGAGTATTCCACTGAGAAAGGGATTATTCTCCAATACGACCCGTTCAATTACCTCAGGAAATCTGAGTGGCAGTCAGTATCTCAGTTCTCCAACTACCAACCGCATTCTGGGTAAAACCTGTTCCACCCTCCACCGAATCAGACAAACGCTGGAACCATGGCACGCAGACAGGAGTCAATGATACAACAACTTCTCCGGAAATGTGAGTTAGCAACCAAAACCTCTTCTCCAAGTTTCACGAGTCAAATTCCCCACTGAGCCGGAACTAACCGCTGTGTCTTCCCCTCACTTTGCAGTTCCGGTTGAGCAGTGTTCAGAGCAACACTTCTCCCCTTGTTTTACTTCTTCAATAAAAGCCGTTAAACCTTTTCCCTGGTCTCTCTGTTCGGTTTTCTGCATTTTTGGGTCAGAACTTTGTAACACTGTGACATATCAGGGCGGTAGACATTACACCCCATAATGTGTATGTCTTAATTTGTACTACACTTAGTAAGCCAGGTTTCTGACATTGAAACAACATCTGCACCTGTTGTTTTCACCCAAATTGTGATCATGTACATCTTTGGGAGTAGGCTCCATACATTAAGATGCACATATTGAAGACCAGGTTGTTACTTAAAATCAGAGGGTGTCTGGGAACATTGGAGCTCGGGTCAAGGATTTGGTTGCACATTTCCAGACAATAATAAAGCAAAACAATCAACAGCCTCTGTTTAGCAATTTATTTACTTTCAATTTTTTGACATGTGAAAGCCCCTCCCTTTAATGGATTAGTGAGATAATTATACAAGGCAAACATAGACTTGAGTTTAAGCAGGTCCCTGGGCAGGAGGCAAGTTTATGTAATTTCCAGTTGTACTGGAGGTTGTCCCGGAAGTAGAGAATCCATAGTGCATGTGCTTTTGAATAAAACACTTTCCACATTGAGGTGATAGTCTGAGTCCTTCCTATATGAACAGTGACAACACTTTGTACTTAGAGCCCATGAGGCAAATAAGCAAATAAATGTAAAAACGTTTGCCATCATCCACAACAGGAATGAAAAGTAGTAAAGGGTGCAGACCTGAGTGGGAAAGGCACAGTCAACAACTTAGCACCAGCAGAATTCCCACCATAGCAGATTAGCTAGTTAGCTAATCTAATAGTTAGCTGCTAGTTCTCAGGGATGTGTAGATGGAGGTAAGCCTCAAGGCTGGGAGATGTAGATAGTGTTAGGGTTCTGTTTGTGGAGTTTTTTTTTTTTGTGTTTTCCTTTTAGTTTCTCCTTCCCCCACTAGAAGGTGCCCCTTCCCCGTTTTGGTCTGGAGGGCTGCTTCTGGTTTTCCTCCCACACCTGCGGCTCGTTGGGTCATCACCAGGGGAGTATTTGAGCAGCAGACTGTCACCACCTCGACGCCAGAGTGTTTGCCAGTATTGGGTACTCTAGCCTCACTGAGATTAGATGAGTCTAACCTTGTGTCTTTGTCTCTCTGAGTCCAAGGTTTTGCCTTTGTCTCCTTTGTGTTCTTTGGTAGGATTACCACCCTGATCCACTGGATAAGCCTGGTTCTTCTACCCCTGGAAGGAATAATTTGTCTCTCACTGAGCAAGGGGAAACCTTCACCAGATCCGTGCAAGTCTACCTCAGGAAATTCAGTGACAGTCCACTCCGCTGCTCTTCTGGACCCACCATTAGTCTGCCTGTCCGCCCTGCAACGAGTACAATCTTCTCTAGACAATTCCCCCACATACTGGACCCAAGGATCTACCAAGAACACTTTAAAGTAAGTCATAACCGATCCATTCATCAGCTTCCATCATTTTCTCTACGGGCCTTGAACTCATCCTTGTGATTTCGCCTCTAGAGTTTCCGGTTCACCAGACCGCTGGATTCCCCTCTGAGAAAAAGCCAGTTGATTCTATCTCTCTCTCTGAGTTTTTGTAACCTCAGCAATAAACCAGTCCCTTTCTGGGTTAGATCTCTGGAACCCATCATGACAGAAAGGCCTCAGAGCTGAGTTGAAATGACACAATCATCAACTTTGCTTTGGCAGAATGCCCACTGTAGCAGGGTTAGCTCCAGCAGAAGGATCACTGTAGCAGATGGAATTAGGCGTCAGGCTGCATGATTGGGAGATGTAGGTAGGCCTCAGGGCTAGGTGAGCAGAGCCCTGGGCTCAAAATACTGTATGTCTCCCATGAAAAACACAAAACTGTCCAAATCCAGAGCTTGTTGAAAATAAATAAATAAAAGCTTTTTATGCTTAAAAGAGTGGGTAAAACTGTCAAATGACAGCAAATAAAACAATAAAATCCCTAAAAAAGATACCATGCATGCTGCCACCTTGGATTCCGAAGTCTTTCTCAGTAATTTATGGGACCTCTAAGGGATTATAACTAGATTCTAAATAATTTATATAACTGCACTTCAAGCAATGAAATGTAGAAAAGGAATATTTCTACAAATTATTTTTGTTGATTTAAATAGTAAGTTCAAGTAACAATCAAAACCACATGTGCTTGCTTTTGTACAGTGTGGGTTGTTGCAGAAAGACAGAAGACTGGATGGTGTGGAGAAGCTACATGTTTACTGGCCATTTCAAATCACACAATAGGTATAAGTAAGTTCTTTGCCATAGCGTGTTTCTCTACTTTTCTATTGAAAGACCTCTATGCTCCACAGATGGCTTAATTTTCAGTGTTTTTCCTTTTCTATTGCTAAAAATAGTGTCAATATGGAACGGTACAGTTCTTTGTTATTGCCAATAAAAATGTTCTTATCGTTTCTGTGTAAAGAGGTTTCTCAAGATGTCTCCATTTTCAAAGTAAAACCATTTTATATGCATACATTTGTGTAATTACACTAATAAAATAACTGTGGTAATAGTTATTAAAAAACAAAAATTTAAAGAGATGATAAATATTTTAGTGAAAGAATTTATTTGTGACATTGAAATAGTAAGTGTTTAGCCTGTGTGGAGTTTGCATGTTCTCCATGAGCATGCATGGATTCTCTATTGGTACTCCAGGTTTCCTCCCGCAGTCCAAAAACGTGACTGTTAGGTTAATTGGTCTCTCCAAGTTCTCCTTAGGTGTGAGTGTGCGCGTGCATGGTATTAGGTCCTGTCTGTCTCTCTTTTGCCCTGCAAAAGACTCGCGATCTGTCCAGGGTGGGCCCCGTCTCTCACCCAGAATGTTAGCTGGAGATAGGCACCAGCACCCCTCCTAATACCCATTTTCTTACAAAAGGGTATTAGAGAATGGATGGATGGATGGATGGATGATTAGTTTTTCAGGTAAAATTATATTTTGTAGTATGACTTGCTTTACATTTTATGAAACATATGATGATGGTCCTGAGCATCTTCTCTTCCAGTGTATGATCACAGGATGAATGACCTGAGCAATTTCCTGAGACAAAGGAATATTCCAGAGGAAACTATCAAGATCGTGCTGAGAGAAAAGGTACTAGCTAAAAAAAATCAGTATTTCAAAAACTACAGTTTTTTTATAGCGTGTCTACCAATGTTATCTAATTAAATAAAAATTATTTGCATGCAATTCTAGTTCCATTTTTTTAGCTTTAAAGAAGTCATTTTTATTGTCCTTGTTTAGATTGATACCAGCGTCATCCACCTCATGACAGATGAAGAGCTAAAGAATGATTTGCCATCATATGGAGCCCCTATTGCCCTGTTAGGATACTGTAAAAGGAAGGGCAATGGCCCCCCCAAGCAGTCGCAAATAAAAACTGTTTGAGTCCCTGAAATCAAAGCTGGGTAAAAGAAAAAGTGCTTATGAAGATGGCTGTGGTATGGAAAAAGAAGAGCAATTTGAAAAACAATTTTTTTAAAGAAGCACGCTCTTTAGAAAAATAGAAATAGCCTGGCTGCTTTATGATGAAGAACAACAGGCTTTTAAACAAGTAAGAGCATGAAGAGGTGGTGGAACAAAGAAGGTTAATGTATCAAAGGATGCAAAAAAAGGAGATAATCCAGATGGCTGTTGGCCTTTTCTTTCCAAATGGAAGAAATAGAGAAGGGTCCATAGCAGATTTTAAAATACATCTGAAAGTCAGTCAGTCAAGATGAAGTTTTGTCTTCACCATTTTACCAGGATCAAGAAAGTTCTCTGAGTCAGCCCTCCTCTTCATCTGATCTAAATGTTGCAATGAACAGCCAATCTACAATATCCACAATAGTAACTTCTGACATCCTATTTGCTAGGAAACTGGAGAGAAAGTATCGCTCCACAGGCCTATGGGAATCCTACCTACTCTGGAAAAAATAGTTTACTGCTGTATAAGAGGACCCTTTGTAAAGCAAGAGAAGCATATTT